AAATCCACAAATCTTTAACCAACTGATCATTTACACTCAAAGCTTCTGAGAAAATCAGTTTTTCTGTCATGACTCCAGCTTCATTTTGACCCTCACTCTCCATCTTTCTTTTCCTGGCATAGCAATCTTTCTTCAGGTGCCCTTCCTTTTTGCAGAACCAGCAAGTGACCTTTGATTTTGAGGCTGATCTGCTTCTGCTCTTTCCTCTTGACCCATTCTGTTGACTCCTTGCCTGTGGTCTTCCTCTTTCTGTTGTATATAGTGCAGCAGGTTGAGATCTCTCAGGTTCTTTGGACTCAGCAAGTTCACGTTCCAAAGATTTTGCAGATGAAACAACATCTTGAAGTGACAGAGTCTTGTTGCCATATTTAAGCGTATGCTTCAATTGACTATAGCTAGCTGGAAGTGAGTTGAGTAACAAGATTGCTTGAACTTCTTCTGCAACCTGAATTTCTAAACTTCCTAACTCTGCAACTATCCTCAAGAAATCATCCACATTCTGATCAATTGTCTGAGTTTCAACCATCTTGAAAGAGTAAAAGTTCAACTGAACATAGATCCTGTTAGGTAACGAGGTTTCCATGTAAAGCTTGTTCAACAACGACCACATCTCAGCTGCAGTCACACAATGATTTACCTTTCTCAAGACTTTATCGCCAATATGATTTATGATAATGTTCAAGGCATGTTCCGATTGATCAATCTTGACCGGATCTGGAACCTCCTTGGTCAATGGCAATGAAGGATCTAGACCTTCTTCAGTCGATACTTTCTTTTCTTCACTTTTGGTCAAGGGAACAGTCTTCGTCATGGAGAAGTCGGTGAGAGTGTTCTTTAAACCCAGAACTCCGAGCTGCGCCATGATTCTGATCTTCCAGAGAGAGAAATCGGTTTCTCCATTGAATGCCTTGATTTCGACTCGCGCTGTTGTAGCCATCGATCGAAGATGAGATTGAACCAGTGAACCTGGCTCTGATACCACTTGTTACTAAGAAACCTACGGTTCGATTGGATTATAAACTTGCAGAACTCACGATTGATGAACTCAAGAGAACTCGAATCAGCTCAAGAAAACGATTTAAGAACAGAAACGAGTAAGGGAGCACACGATGAGTTTGTTTACCCAGTTCGACAAGATCGATGTGATCAAGTCTACGTCTGGGGCCGAATCGATTCGGCAATCCACTATATCAAGGATGAGAATACAGAACAAGATAAGCTCTCAACAATGGCGTCTCACTCTCTCTCTGTTTACAAGATGAAAACGATAAAGAAGAAGAAGATGAGATTAGAGTATTTATATCAACACTCTGTTATAACGGCAAAACCTCTCTCGCGAAAAGCGGCTTCCTTTTGCTTCTTCAATTCCGGTTAAGAGACTCCAATTGAACCGGTAATCAATTCCCTTTTAACCAATGACTAAACCAGCCATAAGTTTGAATCAGAACCAACAACTCACAACAGTTTAGTATGGTGGAAGAGCCTTAGGATTAAAAGTCTAAGTATAATGGTTAAGTTTGTCATGAAGAGTTGTTATACATACTTGGCAGAGTAGTAAATCAAAGAAAACTGTGGTTGATTCACACATTTGTTAATATGTTTTATTTTTATCAAACAAATATGCTATGCTTTTTTGTGTGTTTTAATGATTTTAGTGGTATATATAAACACTCTTAAGACTCGAACTTGTCACCACGGAAATTGAGTTTCTATCGCCGAACTAAGAAGAATTTCTAACAAAATATCGATCGTTAGAATATATAACACTTTTTAAGACAACAAGTCTATGCTTGATCCGCATAGCTGGAAGATCTTTAGTCTTTTTAATCATCTCATACATATACTAAGTTGATAAAATTTATTGAATAATTGGTTTCAACGAAAGAAAAAAAAATCATTATTATTTGAAGATTAAATTATTTTTTTCTTTAAACTTAAAATTTATTTAAAAACTAAAATCCAATTGATATATTTGATGTTAAAATAACATATATTCATACAAATACAAATACATGTATTGTCACTATACTTCCAACTAGAAGATATTTTATTTATCCCTATCCTAGATATTTTAATGTGTGAATCTAATGCATTCTCTTATAATACAACCAAATTAAGCAAAACAATAATGCCTCTCCTGCAATTTTTCTCCCATCAAAATAATTTCAATGGAGTCATCTTCTTCACTCCTTATTCATCACTCTTACCTCTCTTACCTTAATCCAAAATTTCGAAATAGACCTTCCCTTTCTTATCCGTTAATGCGAAATCCGCAAAAATGCAAACAAACTCGAATTTGTTCAAATAAGATGTACGTTCCCGGTAGGTAAATATATATATATGTATATGAGTACCATATTAATCACAAACTGAGGTTTTGATCCATACACTCTATATTATATAGACTAATGTCTATTTTTTTTCTCAATAATTGAATTAGGCTTTGGAGAAGCTTCTCCGGAGGCTAAGGCAGCGAAGCATCTTCATGACTTCTTTACTTACGTTGCCGTGAGGATAGTGTCTGCTCAGCTTGAGGTCAAATATAATGATTATTTTTGTTTTAAATTAATTTAAGTACTGTTTAGATTGTATTAATTATAATTTATGTTAATCAATGGCAGAGTTATAACCCTGAGGCATATATGGAGTTAAGAGAATTCTTAGACACGAATTCTGTAAGTGACGGCGATAAATTTTGTGCCACTCTCATGCGTCGCTCTTCACGTCACATGAACTTAGGTACCAAAAAATATCACTTTTATATAAAAATAAACCAAATTGGTTATAAACTTTATAATATTCTAGCACATGAGGCTTCTAGTGAAACTTGTTAAAATACAAGTTGGTATTTTATTTAAGTCGATGTTCACAGATTCATGAAGTTTAGTAGTTTACCAAATTTTATAAACTCTAATGAATTTGAAGTTTCTTTTAAGTTATTCATCATACTTTTTAACACTTCCAAACATTCTTTTCGTGCGATGAAAATTTTCATTAAATATTCGTGCAAATTCTTATATAGAAAAAGTCATTTTATATAGCCATTATGCTTCGTGTACGTATATTTGATTTGAGATAACTAAACTAAAAAAATTTGGTTTTGGTGACATGAAAAATGCAACAAGCTCTTCGAATCTTAGAGGTAAGCTAAGCTTTACTTTTCTCTTTTAATACATTTTCAAAAAAACACTCCTAAATCTTTTTTCTCATCTCTACGTTTTGTATTTACGGGTTGAAACCTTTGTTACTACCACTAGGTACGATCTGCCTATTGTAAAAATGATTTCGAGTGGGATAATTTGAAGCGTCTCGCCTCGAAGGTTCTCTCTCGCTCTCTTTCCTTATCTGTCTACATATATCAGAGTAAAGTATGTAACATAAGCATCTTGTGTTTGTGAAAATGTAGAACGTAGAGAGATCCAACACAAGACTCATGCGTGAATACGTCTTGGAGACTAGCCATGTCGAAACCGATTCCGATACTTGAAACCTGAGATATCTTCGGATCACATTCACATATATAGTCTCGAGAGTATACACACTTATAACTGTTTGTACATACATATACCATTGTACATTTGTGCTTGTGTTAATCTCAGGCCTGATCCTAGACCCTTTTCTTTTGAGAATGACCACATCAAGAATCGCATTGATCAGTTTTTTAACCAGCGGAATCGATCAAAACCCAATTTTCTTTGAAGGAGTTACCTAGAGACGGGAATGGATACCGGGAGAGGCATGGATTTTGCCTGACCCAAAATATGATTGAGCATAGTCTTCGATATTCTCTAACCTGTCATTAATCGAATAAGATGGATTTAGGACCAACAAAACATAAAAGCTTTGAAGCGGGATCACTTAAAATGCATAGTTTACTTTACCTATAGACATAGTTAACCATAATGCCTCCACTTTGATGAATACCTTTCTCTGATCGATCCGCCATCCAATTTATTCTTTCAACCATCTATGTAACATATCGAAACAAGAAAGCTTATCAATCTCACTCACTCTGATTGTCTAGTTCCTATCACATTCAGAAGACTTACCGCTCCATTTTGCAAGTGGAAGTTAGCAACAGAGTCTAAAGCTTTTCCCCTCTTCTTCTCTTGCAAGAGGTACCTACCAAAATCAAAACAAATATTTGATATTATGCCTACATGATTCATATTTGACCATTACATTTCCAAGATTGAACATACCTAGCACATAACCGCATAAGAATAGGTTCTAAAACTGGTAATAGACGAGCCGAAGTAGCCCAATCACAGTCCTTTGCCGATAGTAAATTCAACAGAACTTCCATGCCGTTGCTTCCGGGAGAAGAATCACTGCAAAAGAAAGATCATTTAGTTGATGCCTTGAACTTGATTTTGTATATGATTGATAAGATCATACATGAAGAATTTCTTACTCTGATAGACTCATGAGGGCTTGTTCCTCTCCTGGTAGTAGTACTTTCTCGCTAAATGTAGATGAAGGCGAATTGCTCTGTGTACCACGTTCATCTTCAGCAAATCTGGATTGAGATGATAACTTTGAGAGGAGCCATTGCATGAATCCAGGGATGGGGCTAAGTGTGGCAAATGTCTGCAACGAATTTTTTTTTTTTTTTTTTGTTGAGCAAGCATATTAAAACCCTTTTTCCAGTAACATATATTTGCATACAAATGAGCCAAAACACTCACAGAAACATGTGGCATGTCTTTCTTCACCAACGTTATCACTCGTTTGATCAGAAATTTCCCGAGGTTTATACCAGCTAAGCCAGGCTGCAAATGTATAAGACATGCGTCAAAAAGCCTTAGATTTAGTCAGAATCATGAGATGAATCGACAAAAAAGATGATATAAAGTATACAAGAGAGAGTGCACGATCAATAGATGTGAAGGACGAGCGTGCTCATACGGTCATACCTGAGTTGAAGAAATCGAGTAAAATAAAGCGCATGTTGCTTGGTTCTCTGGTATGGGGGGATTGTCCCACAAAACTTCCTGCAAAGACAAAGAAATGTTAGACACATAGTTACAGAATCTAAAGTACACGGCATAGGGATCAAGATTGGTTTAACCTGAATTGTCTGAGCAACAGTTTCCATAAGAGCAACTTCGATAAAAATAAGTGGTTCACCTGAAAGTAACGGTCAAGATGATCAAAGAATGTGGTCAACTTATAATCGAAGAAACATATGTCCAGAGAAACTAACTTAACTAAACTAACCAGGAATAGATGGATGAAAATATCCAAAGCATCGACGACCTATTCCCAATCTTCTTTTAAGATCCAAAAGGTTGCTGATAGGATGCACCGCCTTATGAATAATATGAGTCATTAGATCAAACTTTAACTATCTGAAATAGCTGCATTACTGAAATGGAAACTACTAATGCATACCTCGTATGCAACAATTTTTTCAAGCAAAGAAGCAGGGTCATCCCAAGTAATTTGATGAAGTTCTAAAGTGGCAGGACTAAGCCACATACCAAGTTTCTCCTTTAGAAAGGAATCTAATGTTCGCAGAGATGGCGTGTTTTCTTTTCTATACATTAGAAACAACCATCATTATCAGATTCGACCGGATTTTTTTTTATCCAACTGGTTAGAAACTATATTCAACTATTTGAGTTTCCAGTCACAAAACAAGAAAATGGGAAACATTACGTGAGTATCGATAGAAGATCAGCACGGAGGATAGACAAAAATCTCAACCCTCCTGGATGTGTATTTAACCTCTCAAAGAGAACTTCATATGTTGGCCTAAGAGAATGCCTCAGATTCCGCTCAACGCGATAGAAAACAGAAGATGAAACCTCCTTATCATCACCTAAAGAAAAGTACTGGCTCATCAATGGAGAATATATGGAGGAATAGCATAAAAAAAAGCAATTAAAAATACAAAGACTCACTAGCTGACTTTTCAAGTCCGAGATATTGCTTAATAAGTTCCCGGACTTGCTCTCGGTTAACATCATATTCTTTGGCTAATTCAAGCAGTAACTTCTCACGGTCTTCAAGCGAAAGGCTAAAGTAACCCTATAAGCATTTTAATCATAAGTAATCAAATTGAAAAGTTTAAACACATCAAAGAACGGAATCAATAATGAGATAGTGTTACCTCTTGAAAATCACTAAGAGTAATGTCCAATACACCAGTTTTACTAGCTGAGGTAGCCGAGTGCATTGTTTCTCGAACTACATCATATACCCTAAACAACAAAACAACCAAATTCAATATAAAGATTACCAAACTCACTACTTCAAAGATCAAATATGCTAATCAAATCACCTTCCCGTGGTACCAAATTTACTAGAATTCCCAATTCCTTCATTAGAATTATCCACAATGTGATCTCCAGAACGATTCTCTTGAGTATTAGATTGGATCTCCTTCTGACAACAAAGTCAACACAACCATTATTTTAGACTCAAATTGACCTTACTATATTCATATCTTGTTAAAAACATTCAAGCTCAAGAAGCAAAACCCCCTTCTTTTTTATTTTCTTTTTCTTTTCTTACTGAAGTTAAAGCTATAAATCAAAGCCTAACTCCTAAATTCTTCTTGTTTGATCAAAAGATTTAAACTTTTTCATTGCCCATGATTACAAATTGGGTAATTTTTGTCACAATCGCAACAAAGTCGTAAAAACTGAAACAAAGAAGAAGAAATCGACAAAAAGCTTACGGGAAACTGAGAGAGCGAAAACTTGGTGGGATTGCTCGATCTCATTCTGGCACGCAACAGAATCGCTAGATTTTTCTTGCTCATATCTCTGGTTACAACATGATCATCATCGTTAAAAAATTCATTACGAAAAAGAAACAATTTTTATCGGAAAAAAAAAAAAGAAAAAAAAAGAAGCGATTCGTACCAGACAAGGACAGGAACCTTTAAATCTGGCCGTTCAAGTATCGGAAAAAAAATCGAGACTTGTCTTGTCTTTTCAACGGCTAGCGTTAAGGCGCAGATAATAAAACGGTGTCGCATGATACACCGACCTGTTCATGGGCCAAAATAAAGCCCAACAGAAGACGGAAGAAAACAGCAGCCCGTATCAAGCCCATCTTCAAACCCGTAAAACCTTATAGCACGCGTCACTTTTATTTTACATGTTACTTTCCTAAAACCTAAGTTGAAGCAGTTAACGCCATTTTCATTTTTATCTTCTCTAAGCTTTCTTCAAGGTTTAGAAAGCTAAAAAATGGCTGCGTTTACTTCACTTATGTTCCAACTCTTATTTCTGTTTAGATCATGGTTAATCACTTATCACCAACCTTGTTATCAGACTCTGAGGAGTTTGGGATCTGACATTTACTTATTGAGTTGGCCAGAGACTGTGTGTCCACGTTTTGAAGCCCTCTCAGAAAAAAACCAACCCACAGTAAAACAATCTTTCAGGTGCCTTGAAACTTATTTAAGTTATTCCCATGAAATTTTCGGCTATACAGCTCTTTGCATATTCTCTGGTTCTTCTTTCTCTCTTTTTTCACAACATCAAATGACAAAACCCTAACGAATTTAAATCTGCACCCAAATAGCTTCAGGTTAACTTACTACCCACTCATAAGAGGCTCTTACCCGCGATCATCTTTTCCGGCGTTTGGCTTCCACCTGATCACACAAGTTTGTTGTTAACACCAGAACAAGTTATTTCAGGCAGAACAGTCAAAACAAAAGGATTTCATCTGGCTAAGAGAAAGGATCAACAATGTCTGAGTCACAAGTCTTATTTTTTTCGCCACAAACATCAAGCCAATGAAAATTTGGGTTTTCTTGCATTACTAAGATCTCAAAAGTAGAGCCAATGATGGTGGCAGAGGTTATTGTTATGACGCTATCAAAGCAATACAGAAGGTTGAAAAAAAGAAGAAGAAAAAAATTACCTTAAGATCATTGGTTGGTGACGAAGCAAACCCGTTCTGAGATCTTTTGAGTCCATCTTCGTCAGAGCTGCATTCAACACATACAAAGTGTTCCAGCTTCTTGGCTTCTTCAATCGTCATGCCTACACATGCTGGGTGATACCTACAATGATATGGTAGTAACTACTACAATTTAATGAAAATAACATATTACGCAATAACTATTCTGATTAGTCTGATATCACAAAGAGTTCAAAAACTGAGCACCCAATATTTTCCGATAGCTATAAGCAAACAAGCAACATAAATGCTTTCCTAACAAATTCCCCAACAAAGCTAAAGAACGATGCAGAGATCTGAATTTTTCTGTACTAGAGACCATTTCTATCCAAAATTTACACAAGCAATAGGAAAAACATATTTCTAAAAGTATATTATCATCAGCATTAGATATCTTACAACTTGAGGAACAATACTTGGAATAAAAAAAGGTAAAAATAGAATGATGAAAATTAGCATTTACCAGTCCTTGCACCCTTCACACTGCACCATCAGATCATCTGGGTTATACGGCATTTCACATTTGCAGTACCTGCAGAGCCAAGTAAATCCAGAAAGGAAAAATATAAACTCATGGAAATTTTAGGAGAGAAAAAGGCATGTTTCATTACTATATATATCTACTCACACAGCAACACGATCAGGGGTAAATGCGCCAGTAGCAGCTTTATACTCAAATCTACAATAATAATCTTCCGCTCCAACATTTTCAAGCCTAGTGTAGTTTTTAAAGGTGTGAACGATACATTTCCCTTCAATGGTGTGTGCACTTTGAACATCGTAGTGATCAGACAAGAAGAGCTCTTTGGCTCCATGGAACTGTCTCCTTCCCCCAAGTGATTCTTCAGGACGGTAATACCATCGACAATGCACCTTCACATTGTTCCTTGCATCTGCTTCAATCTTCTCAACACAGGCCACATATGGAGGCTTACCAGCATCAGATGGACGCATTAAAACACAATCGCCCACTGCAAAAACCACATCAACAATTACATTTCCAAGTTCATCATGCCAAAATTAACTATATTGATCAAAACTAAAATAGCAGCTACACAGTAAACTCAAATGATACACACACTACAGTATAGGAATCTCATAAGCATTATCGTTCCCTTTTATGGTACAATGCAATATAGCCTAAAGCACACATTTTTCCAAATACAACACAGTAAAATTGTCCCTTCATAACCGCAGAAAACGAAGTCTACCAAAGGTCACATTCTGCATACAAGTACATATTCCAAAGTGTACGTATTCAGCAGCAGTGACGTAACACAACTTCATTGTATCAAACTCAAGGATCCAATAGAAAGCTAAGTTTAGATAAAAGAACATATTTTTTTCCCTTTTTTTCAAATTGAAATATAATCGCATCTCAATAGCCCAAAAGAAGCATTCAAAAGAGTGATTAATTTGAATTAGAGTTGACATAGAGCTTGATATGGACTAACCTTTGACAACTTTGGTGGTGCCTCTGATAGTATACGAGTCGATATCTTTCTTGCCAAGCTTTCCCTTCGCAGAAGAAGCGACACCAGGTCGAGTTTTCGCCATGAAATCTAGGGTTTTTTCCCACCGACTTGCGAGCTCGATTTAAGCTAGGTTTCTTTGGTTCCTCTCGTTTTCGATTCTGTTACTCGAAATGTATAAAGATTGAAACTTTCTAGAAGACCAGAAGCTCGAGATCGATGGGAAGAAGAAGAAGAAGAATAACAAATCCCTGAGAAACGAAGAGATAAATCTAGAACCCTAGATTCCCTCTGGGAGAAGATGAAGTTCTTTCCTTTTTCGTTTATTTTGTTTTTTTTTTTCTCCAAAACTTTAATTTCAGCCAATTACAGTATTACAAGTTTGTATAAAAACATTTTATAAGAAAACAAAATTGTGTTTATTTTGTTTTTTGTCTTTTTCATTCTGAAATTTTAGTAGCCTAAAAAATTGTTTTAAATCAATAATAATTTTGATTAAATGATATATTAGTCCAATAATTAATACTTGTAAAATATTTAATTTGAAATTGTGTTAGATGCATTTACAATTTAAATACACTGTAAGTAAAACTTTACTTAGCAACTCCACTGTCTCCAAGTCTCCCAACAAATAATGTTTTTGGCAAATAAACCAAAAAAAAAAAAAAACAAATCCCACAAATAATTTTAAGTTATAAATTCTCAATGAGATGCACAAGATGTATAAAACAGTGAATAATTTAATATAGTTTAATTTAATGTCAAGATATTGTTTTGTAATCATCATAAATAGACTTTCAATGAGCTTATGATATAAAAATAGTTTTCTAAAATGAAAAAGTTTATTTTAAAATATTTATTTTTTAATGAGTAATTTGATTTCGGTTACATCCACATCCCATTGGAATACATGAACCCAACTGCTACAAGAAATCCACAAGAACAACCTATGGCTGCAGCTTTCCATGAAAACACTGTTTCCTCTTTATCTTCCTCTTCTTCTTCATGTGGTGACTCGGTCTGTGTAGACGAGCATGGTACTTGGATTTGCACTCCACAGATTTCGTTGTTGTTTGCGTAAATGTTTGGATCATTCAATCTGTCTAGCTGAGGACCATCAGGGATTCTACCTGTAAGCTTGTTGTTACTCAAATCCAAAGTATTCAGCTCGCTTAGCTTGGATAACGTTTTGGGGATATCGCCAGTGAGGTTGTTGTGTGAAAGGTCCAAGCTCTCTAGCTTGTCAAGATCTCCAAAACTCTGTGGGATTGATCCAGAGAACTCGTTGTTGGAGAGGTTCAAAAGCTTTAGACTTTTGAGATTGCCTAAAGAAGTTGGTATTTCTCCATGTAGCTTGTTCTTGGAGAGATCTATGAGAGTGTAGAGGTAGAAGTTTCTCTGGGAAAGAACTTGTTTTGATTTCTTCCAGTTCACAGCAAGACTAAATATATCTTGTGTTTTGATGTCTATGAACCTGTTTACGTCGTCGAAATTGAAGAGGAACATGCGACGAATAGCTGAAGATGAGCTGTCCTTTTTATCATGCATGTAAGATTCCCAAGAGATGAAGAGAGATATCCATCAAGATTGTTGTCAGAGAGATCCAAGACCTGAAGGCTTGTGAGATTTGATATGCCTTTTGGTATTGAACCTCTGAGGGAATTGTTTCTCAAGCTAAGAACCTCTAGAGAAGAAGGTAACCGGGAGGTTAAACTCGCGAACTCTCCAGAGATTTTGTTGTCATGGAGATCAAGACGCATAAGAAGTGAGAAAAATCTGTAGTTCTGAGGAAATTCGCCACTAAAATTGTTGTCACTCATTAAGAGCATACTGATGGAACCTCCAAAGGAAGCTGGAACATCCCCAGAGAAGTCGTTGGAAGATATATCGAGCCACACAAGGTATGAATCAGGACCGAACCTCGGGAATTCACCTGATAATCTATTCTTTGACAAGTCCATCAATGTCAGCAAGGGACTCATTGTAGTAATAAACTTTGGTAATGATCCTGAGAAATTGTTTTCAGACAGCATGAGTACCATGAGCGATGAATCATTGTTGTTGCTTGATATCGTATCAGGGATCTGACCTGAGAAGTTGTTCCTTGATAGTACAAGACATAATAAGCTCCCAGACTGAAACAAATTTGGAGGCAATGAGCCTGATAGTCTGTTGTCTGACAAAATTATGATATTCGGAATAGATATCCACTCAGGGAAACTTCCTTCGAGTCTGTTAGCGCTCAAATCCAAGTAAACAAGAGTTGTTTGATTCTTGAGCCAATCCCGAATATTCCCTTCTAAGCCACAAGAACTAAGTGACAGATGTGTTAACTTAGACTGTTGAAAGGCATAACCATTGTTGTTCTATTGGAGTTTGTTTCCTCCAAGCCGCAGTATCTTCAGCTTCTGAAGACCAAACAACCAAGCTGTGGGAATCTCACCTAAGGAGCCATTATTATTCTCAAGCTCAAAGGTCTCAAGATTTTTAAGATTCTGAATCGACGATGGAATTCCACCCGAAAACTTGTTCATGCTCAAAGCCAGAGTTGATAGATTGACTAAGATCCCAATACCGTCTGGAATCTCAGAAGACAAAGAATTGATCTGAACATCAAACTTTTTGAGCTTCGTTAACCGTGATACAGACCACGGTAAAGAACCATCGAACTTGTTCTGCCTCAAACTCAGCTTCCGTAATTCGGCAAGACTACCTTGTAAGAGATTTTAAAAGGTAGGATCATTTTAAGACAGCTTTGTTATATACATAACATGAACATAAAGTTTAGTTGTTGAGAGCATATTTTCTAGTTTACCTATTTCTGGAGGAATCTGTCCTCTAATGAGATTCTCATCTAAGATCAATTCCTGCAGATTCTTTAGCTCTTTGATGTTACCACTCAACGTTCCGCCAATAACATTATTACTTAAGTCAAGAAGCTGAAGAGTCTTCAAAGAGAACAATTTAGGAGGGATAGAGCCGTTGAAACTATTATAACTCATGTCAAAAAAGATCAAGCTGGTCAAGTTCATAAACGCATCTTCAGGAATCTCTCCCGTAAAACCACTCAGGCTTATGTTAAGATACTGAAGAGTCTTCAAAGAGAACAATTTAGGAGGGATAGATCCACCAAAGTGATTATAACTTATGTCAAGAGAGATCAAGCTGGTCAAGTTCACAAACGCATCCCCAGGAATCTCTCCTTTTATATAATTAGACGAGATATCAAGCGTAAGGAGAGAATTTATACGCAGAACCGGTCTCAGAATGCTTAAACTCACTGATACTGAGACTGAGCCATAAAAGTAAAGAGAGCTAATATTTAGGTGTGTGACTTCTCTGGAAGGTAAACGAGCATTGCAACTAACGAGCTGCCATTTGCAGCAATCTGAGTTTGGCCTCCATGTTTTGAAACGTCCCATTAATTCCATTTCTGCTACAGAGTGGTTCTTGACATGGTGAGTCATCAGCAAGTTCTTGAACTCAAGAAGTGATTGTCTTTGGTCTTGTGGGCAAGAGAAAGATAGTTTTGGTATGAAGAAGAAGAAGAAGAAGAAGATGAAGAGGAAGCAGGAGAGAGGAGAACATGGCTTCAGCATTTTTTTCTTTCTCAAAGCTATTTTCTCCGTTTGCCACTTGCGATATGTTCTTTGTCTTGTGTTATCATTATGACAAGTCCAAAAAGATTGGTCTGCTTTCTCAAATCAATTGTTGAAAATTCCATCATGTTGACTTGAAACCATTGACTCCACAATTGTTTATGCAATTTTTATTATTTTAGAGACCTGAGGTATTCAATTTTTAAAATATCAATTCATAATATACATATGACAACGTATAAATTGTTGCGAAAAGCTTGTATGAAAGTCAAAAAACGCATAAAAGAAAAAATTTATTTTCGATAAATGAAGTGAAAACTATACCACAAGTCGTTTCTTCCCATAAGAAAGACACCGTTGTATACAAAGCCAAGAAGTAACTTACAGGCCAACATTTCTTTTTGGTTACAATAGCAGTTACGAAGATCTCGTGATAATGCATATATAGATTGAACAAAAAGAAACAAACCCCTTGTAGAAAGTTCTAGAATTTCTGAAGAACAACAGAGTTGGCAAGACCGGCTTGTTCAATGGTCTGAGTGAGATCAGTCAAGGGCTTTGGTGGGAATTCCATTGCCTGGAGCTGGTAGTTCATTGGAGCTCCAGGCCGAGATGAGTCGATGAAAGAGCGAATGTCGTTGATCGTGTGGTGGTGATTGAACTTACCCACCAGGCGTGTCCCATCAGCTAGTCTAAGCTGGATCGATGTAGTTGGAGCGGTTTCATCTATTACAAGACTTTGAGATGGTGCTTGTGCCGCTGAACTGGTTTGGTTGATTTGGATGGGAATGGAAGTTGAATCTGGAGCCATCGGCGAGCTACTTCCGCTGCCGCCATCATTGCTACCACCTAGAGTTCTTCCAATACCTTGAAATGAAACCCTACGCTTCGGTTGTTCCTATAATGAGAAACAAGACCGGTAACACAGTCAATAACAACAAAAAGAAAAAAAAAAAACAGACTAAATAGTATTCTCAGCTAGCATCACAAATATGTATCCTCAAATCTATCTAGACTACAAAACAACGCATTTCAACAATGATTAAATCTAAGATGACCTAATACAAAACGAACAAAACCCCAAAGATATTCATGTAAATATGAGTGTGAACTAGTGTGAGCAAGTGCTAGTTTTGGTCTTGAAAACATAAACATATAAAAGCTGATCATGACAAGGAGATACAATATGGATAGAGTACTAGTAGAGAAGACTCACAGGGCACTTCTCTTCCCTCCGCATCAGATTGACATGTACCGGAGCTCTTCTATCCGCAGGCTCAAGCTCTTTCGGGCACTCAGACTTTCGAATACTCTACAAGAACATTTCCAAACTAAATCAATAACAGTTTGACATGAAACTCATTCATTCATCTAACAAATGTTTTGATTTATTTCACCTCGAGGAACGATGCATTCTCAGGATCATCCAATTTCCTCAAAGGACCATCATCAATAGTGAATCCATTAGACCAGAAAACAATGTTGTGAACAACAGGCTCAGGCTGGTGAGGACCAGTAGACACGTTTTCACCTGAAAGCAATCTCCCAGTCCCAGTGAAACTCCTAGCACTCGAAGAAGGTGGCTCAAGAGGACCTTCCACAGCTCCTAGTTGTCTAGCTTGGTTAAATATCTCATCAACATCATCTTTTTTCGAAGGATCTTGAACTAGCATACCACTACAAAACAACAAGAATCAAATGTTTTTACATTAACAAGAACTCTAAATTAGACATACTACTTAGCTAAGGTTATACTCAATTTGAACAGTTAAATGATTAATTATAAAAAAAAACTCAGCAATTAATAACAACAATCATTATCTCTAGATCCAAACACTTCTTTAACAATCGATTGAATCATTAATCAGTTTGCAAGAACACAAAGAAGACTAACCTTTTCTCACCACCGGTGTAGTATTCTTGAGGACCATCGGAATCACTGTCGGAGTCAGGACCAGACCTACGGTTAAGATCGGAAAGAGTTCGGATTTTGCCACGACTACTAGATGGCTTCGCCGGTTTCTTGTCTTTCGAAGACATTTCTTTTTTACGCGAAGAACTGAAAACGAACGAACGCTAGAGAAAGATACAAAGATCGGAAAAAGAATCAAATCAAGAAGAAGAAGAAGAAGAAGAAGATATCAAAACGAAAAACGCTAGAGAGACGCTCATTTTTGTGTTTTTTTTTTGTTTCTTACGCGATGATTAGGCGCGTGGGGTTTTGTCTCAATGTGTGTGGTTCTGTGGTCGCGTGACTTTAGAATTAAATAACGTTTAAGATTTGATGTTGGTACTTGTGGTTTTGACACTTTTAGTAACTTTTCCTTGCATGACGTGTTTTTTGTTCTTCTATTTTAATATTTTGTTTATCTTTTTATGCTTATAATATCTACTTATGTCGACCCCCATAAATGCCTTTATTAGTATTTCTAATTCTTTTTGCTGTTTTTTGATTGAATATTTTTTTTTTATTCAATAAATTTACAGCCAATTTATATTGAAAGAAAATAAATAAACTTTTTGACGTTAAAACTTAAAAAAAAACGGAAAGAAAGATGTGGATTTATTTGTAGTATCAAACTATAGATTTGCCATGACATTTATGGATATCCCATTTTATCTAAAATTTATTGATTTGACATATAATGTTTGAGTTTAGTCGGTTGGATTTGGTTTTAGAATTTAGTATTTGTTAGAAAGTATATATTAAAAAAAAAAAATCGTAAATACGATTTGCCTTGGAAATTTATAGCAAAAGTCACATATTTGTAAGATTTGCCTTGGAAAATACCTTGTTTCTCTACGAGTGAAAATGTTGATTTGGGTTAAAAGCTAAATCCTAAAATGAAAAAATCAGATCAGACCGGAATTTTGAAAGGTAAGTTCTTTTGCTCGGTTAGGTTGGACCAGACCGGGGATACATATAAATTTTTCTAAAGTGAGAGATCAACAGCATATTTTTGCCGACAAAACCGAACTGGGTCTAGCCTACGGCAGCATCTCCAAAACAGAGAACATGAGATGATAGATTGGTAATAAAGTCTCGGAATAATTCGAAAGTCTGGTTATATCTGTGTCGTCGTCTCTTTAAAAAGTCACCATCAATTTTAGTTTACCTAAGAAAAATGCCAAAAAGAACATGAATTTTTTCCATCTTTTAAAGATGATCACCTCTTCTTCTTTGGTTCTCCTGCTTCTTCTGTGTACTGCTTGATTAGGGCTTCAACATCTTTCCAGAATAAACCCTCCACAAGAACTCCATCTTTTGTAAGCCTGAAATACACAAAAGAAAAAGCAGAAAAAAAACAGAACCAGTAAAGTCAATTAGGTTATGCAAAGGATATGGTGTGAGTGAGTGTAAGAAAAATGAGAAAGGGTGGTGGGAGAGGGAGACCATTGAGTGACACTTTTGGTGAGCTCAACTGACTTGCCAGCTGAGATTGATTTCGGATCAGCACTGTCTATGGTGAGAGTGTACTGATCAGAGAACCTGGGTAACTTGGAAGATACTACCAAGCCAGTGCTGGTGAATGATCCCTGCATATTCACCATCCGAATGTAAAGTCAGTCAATCATGAGCAGGAACCAACTAGTTAAACATGTCTATATCGTAGCAAAACAAATAAATCCCAAAGAATATTAGAAACGAGCAATCTGGTTCACCAGTGAGCACATTTCAAATGTTTAATAAAATCTTAACATCTCTGATAAAATTAACGAGCAGGGTAACTTCAGATTATTAAATCATCTTGTTCAACTATGTATCTAGAAACTAGACAGCACTAATCACAAACACCAAAGATACAAAAACTTCCACATCCCGAATTATCAAGACGTCTACTAATCAAATAACATACTGAGAAAGAGATATCCTTCCCCCCTATAGTAAACAACAAGATCACATAAGATATGCAAACACTACTAGAACAAGTGTGAAACTAGCAGAAGCACAATTATAATTCTTAACAAAACAGAAGGGAATCAATAAACAGCGCAAGCTATGAAGAAGTCGATGCACCTAATCCACATAAATCACAGTCATTGCATTACAAGCAAAACAAGAATGTAGCTTAAGACAACACGAACTATCAAAGATCACCTAAGATATGCAAACACTACTTGAACAAGTGTGAAACTAGCAGAAGCACAATTATAATTCTTGAAAAAAAAAAAGGGAATCAATATACAGCTCCAGCTACAAAGAAGTCAATGCACCAAATCCACAGAAACTACAGTCACTATGTTACAAGCAACACAAGAATGTAGCTTATAAAAGAACACACACTATCAAAGATTACTTCTCAACAGTCAGGGAAGGGAACAGACCTCAAGAGGATAAGTGAACAGTATCGCATTCTTCTCCTTAATGTACAGAATCAGCTGCATTACCGCAGTCAACACCACATACTTGCCAGAGTCAAGAATCAAACAAAATCTCACATCACATTCAAAAGTATATCCAAAGACAAAGACTTTGAGCAGTTTATATGATCATACATACATTCAAACCTAATAGACATTATAGTATCTCAAAATCTAATCCAAACACACAATTCAATTTATCTACAGTTTCATCTTAACCAAGCAGATCAAGCATCTAGTGAATTCGATGAACCAAAAAAAAAAGGATATAATCCGATGCAGCAGATCAAAAAGTCTCTGTTCTCAGGAAACTTCTTGTTGTAGAATTGAGCAACAAGAGCGACCACGATTATAATCGCCCCTAACATCAATTTGACGTTGCTTAACCTCACATCCTCCTTGTACCCTCGGCTCGTAACGATCTAAGCAGCCAAAAAGGACAAAACTTTGATTGAGATTATGGACAAATCGAGGAAAAAAAACAAAATTTGTGGGGAATGATTGATGTTTCTATGACTTACATCGGAGACAGATTCATCGAGAAGGTGTTTGATAGCATTGTGGTCTAACAAGTTAACCTTCTTAGCGTTCGTGGTCGTCGATTCTGTCTTCTTCTCTTCCATGGCTGATCGGAGACAAATATCAAATCTTCGAAGTTTCTCTTGCAGAGTGAGAGACGCTGTAAGAAGAGACAGGAGACGTTTCGGTCTGAAGACTTATAGTTAAAATACGATGTCGGTTTAGGCTCGTTCCTATTGGGCTTTACGTGGGCTTTATAAGAATTATAGATCCGTCACTATACATACGACGACGTTTAGGGTTTTGTTCTTTACTTTGAACCACAAATAAATGGATTAGTGTATGTTTTAACGTTCGTAACAGTGAATTTAATTATAATTTTAATGGCTAAAAGTGATTACATTTGGAAGCACCTGCACCATAAGTGAAGTGAGACTTATTAAGTGTAATGATTATGAACCTTCTTCTATGATCCAAAACATGATTCATCTTGGGAAAAATCACCGAAAACTTCACCAAAAGAACCATCTTTTCGAAGCGGAAGGTTTTGGAGCTTCATCATGTTCTTCCTTTGTTCTATTCTCCATTCCCTGCTTCAGTGACTCCAGTCTTTTTCTGTGACATCCACACACACAGAAAAACTCAGCTTTAAGCTACGAAGAACCAAACAGGTGCATAAAGGGTTAATAGGCTTCACTTTCTATAGTGCTAACAATCAGATTTATATTTACTTAATTTGGGAAGGATTACGATGGGTTCATCTAGTCTCATGCAGATGCAGCATATTAATTCCATGATATTATATTATGCACATTGTTATTCTACAAGGTTCGATTTTGTTACTGTACTTGGTATCCGTCATCCGACCATGCAAACTCCATCTCCGGCGAAAGCCTTCAATTCCTTCAGCTCCGCTTGCTAGAATCAAGTGTCTGATCGTAAAACAAATGAACTGTTTTAGTGAGCATTTGGATTTAAGAACATGAGTTTCAATTTGAGAACATCTATAGATATATATGATATTATGGTAGTACAGATCCAGAGACGAAGTCTTCACATATAGATTATCCAAAACAAAATATACTACAAAAAAATTAAATATGACATGGTCTCTGCATCACTTGCAATGTTAAGAAAGAGTACCTTTCTAGTGAAGTGGCTTCAGCTTCAAGCTGAGTAATCCTTTCCTTAGCCAGATCAATAGGCATAGACAATCCTAACTTGTGTTCGCTCTCTTGAAGTCTTACTCTCAATATCTTGTCCTACAGAAGGATTACAAGAAAAAGAAAAACTCATGGATTTGGATGCAAGAGATGCAAAGCTTCATAAAAACGATATATTCCGAGCCAATGGTTACCCTCTTTTCAGCACATTGTCGATATAAGGCAAGCTCATCTTGGCAAAATGGTTCAATATCATTGATTTGCAAGCCTAAAACAAGAGAAAACAATACTATATAAATCCAAACCGAGTATAGATAGGCTTGATTGGATAAACTAGATACTTACATAGGAATAGATTCCTTAAAATCCCATCGCACAATTCAACACCTTCAAGCACATGTGAAGCAATTTCAGGAGGGATGACAGGGGATGGAGGACCCATCATTAGGTCATCACCGACCAGTATGGTCTCCTCCATCATTGGTTGCGAATCAACTGAAATTTAAAACACCAATATTACAACTTTTCATATAATACAGCAAAAAAAATAGACTTACAAACACTAAGATCCAAATTTTTTTATCACTACTCATTACGCAACCTCATATTCAATTTTCCAAGAAAATAAAAATCAATTTCCATGCACAGATAGTGATGCAGATTGGTGTTTTAACAATGTAAACTAAAAAACCTTTACATCCTATGAACAAAATTACAACAAACACAACTTGATAGTGTTTCAAACAGCCTATGTGTTTGTAAAATTGAATTTTGGTTTCATAATTGAAGCTGCTAAACAATGTCGGTTTCCTAAGTTTGCACTCTGATTTACCAAATCCCAAAATGCAAGAAAAGATATGTGAAGCAAAAAAAAAAAATCACAATTGCACAAGAATCAGTTACTCACCATCCATGACTGCTCCGTATCAGATCACTTCAAGGACTGAAGAACAGACCAAACCTGGGAAACCCTGAAAATTCACATTTACAACCCAAAAAAAAATCATCAAAACGGAGGAAAATAGTAATTACAAAAAATAATCTCACTTAGGCATTTCGTCGAACAGTTTCTAGGCATAAGAAGTGCATACTCGTTTAAAAACCTTCACCCCGCAAAATTCGAAAAGATTCTCCCAGGAATCAGGCAGAAAGCATCTAACGAGTTCGAAGTTATATTCTGACAACAAAATGATATAATCAGACGAAGAAGACGATCACAAAGTCCCCTCTTCTCAGGGGACTTCTTCTCTCAGAGACTGTTGTTTACCAAATAAAAAGGCTCTGTTTTTTTAGGACTCAAATCTAACTTTAGATACGTCGTCGTTTCATGTATCATACATATAATTGCGCGCTTCACTACTTCAACAAACAAACCATTAACTACATCGTCGACCTCTAGGACCTTGACAAAGGTCAAATTCAAAGAACCGAAGAAACTGACTACTCTATTTATATAAGTAATTTTCCATAAGTATGTATGGTGTGTCAAACGAATATCGTCACTCAAAATCCAGCAGAGGTTTCTTGGAACGAGCAGCAAATGTATGTTCCTTCTGCTTCGTGACACTAAGAAGAGCTTTGCGCCGAGCTTCAGCGCTTTCCAAGTACTCTTGTACTGGAGGGAGAGTGATCTTTTGTTCTTCTCCACCAGCCTTTGCTCGACGAATCAACTGTTCAATAGTATAAAAGGTTAACTCTTTGCAATAGAGTAACCATTAGCCAAGTGTAGAAGACGAGATTTGGAATTAACCTTTGAAGCCCATGTTCGCTCTGCTCCTTGACAAACATCTCGAATATCCCTGCCTGACATTCTGCGTGGTACCAAAAATTGGTAGGCCTTGAAGTAGATATAACAAAAAGTTTGTAACTTTAGTGTGTTATCCTAAAAGAAAGTTGGAAACTTTACGTTTCTGTGGCCTGAGCAAGCTGGAGTAGCTCAGGTTTTGAGAGTTGTTTTGCGTATTGGGTGATGATTTCTTGACGGGTTTGTAAATCCGGCAAGTCAAACAAAATCATGGAATCAAACCGGCTAAAAGATACACAGATAAAACATAGGACACTGGTCAGGATACTGCAGCCACACATCAAACTAGTTTTAAGAGGTTTTACTGATTACCTGATCAAAGCGGGATCAAGATCTTGTTTTCTATTGGTTGCAGCAATCACAACCACTTTCTTGTCTTGTTCAAATCCATCAATCTGAAAAAACATAGAATCACATTCATCATACAGGAAATAGCTAGTCTCTAGTCTTGTGTATATGTGATATTGGTCATTTTTGTTGTGTGTTACCTGCCTCAGTAAAACCGACAAAACTCTACGTGTTGCTTCATGCATCTCACTATCACGAGAGATAGCAAAGGCATCGATCTGCAATGTGAGTTAGACAAGTAATTATTGCAATTCATAGTCAAGGACATATCGGACAAGAATAAGAAGCAACTCTTTCTTCACCTCATCAAGAAATATAATGGCACCATCAGGAAGCTCATTTGCTTGTGAAAACACAGCCCCAAGAAGCCGCTCGCTTTCACCATAGAACTTAGACATTACAGCTTCAAGCGGCACATATAGCAATGGTATGCCCTGGCAATAATGAGCAAAAAGTTAATGATCAAGATTATAAAAAAACTCAGAAGGTCAAATAGGGTTAACAAGTTCTCGACTACTCACCGCTTGATTTGCAATAACACGTGCACAAGATGTTTTACCAGTTCCTACGGTTGGAGTTTATGGACATCAGATTCATGATAGTTTCTATAAAGAAGGACAAAATTGCTAATACACTCTTTGTGCTAACCTGGTGGACCCTCAAATAGAACAGCCCGAGGTCGGTTTGATTCAAATTTGGACCGTGTACCACGTACTATATCATCATATACTTCAGGACTATGAAGGGCCATTAATATTGTATCTTCTATCTCTCTGCATCATGATAGAAGCTTATATATTATAAAGCATATCAATGGGATAGAAGAGCAAAGATGTAACCAAAGCTTACCGCTTTTGTTGATCATATCCAGCAATATTGTCCCATGATATCTCATCGACAGAATCATCCCCAAGAGGTTTATTAACTCCATAGATTCTCACTCCCATCGATTCCAATTGTGATATAGATTTTTCCGTAGATGGTTCACGAACGCTACCTCTACTTCCACCTCCCTTATTTTGTCCAACTTTTGTTCCAGCTACTTGCAAAGCTGAAACAAAAGCCTCAAGTTCTTCAGTCGTCAAGCTTCCCTTCTTTATGAACTCAACTTCCTAACACAGTTTGTACCATCGTTAAGATGTTATGAAACAAAATAACCAAGAGCATTTGACGATTGAGCAAATATCTGAGCGAGAAATGTAACTTACCACTTTATCAGAGGTGATTAAGGAACCAAAGATAAGAATGCACAAGTCATCATCTGAATCATCTTCATTCTCTCCTACTTTCTTCTTGTTTTCCACACTGCGAAGTGTTATTTGCCAAGCGACTGGACTGAAGTAACACAAGAAAGGAGCAGCGATTAAATTTATATTGTACACTAGATCAGGCTTCAAATCATAGTTCTTGGACACAAATAAGTAGAGCACGAAAATTACTTGTCCCAAGCACGCAATAACATGTCTGAACCACCAGTGCGATCTGATACCTTCACACCTAGTTGGGATCCAATGTTTGATATTAATTGTCCAACCTCACAAGTAGAAGGAACTTGGAACTTCAAGGTTATCTAAAACATAGGACAAACATCTTATCATCAAAGTTAGGCATCCAGTACCACTCAGAAGTAATTCATATCCCCAAAGTCTCGAAAGTAAAGAGGCAAAAAGAGAAGGGTCATTGTATGAAACCTTTTGACCCCTGACAGCAACATTGAACCGTGGGTAAGAACCATACTGAGTTCCTTTACTTTGTATTAGTTCTTCAACCCGAGCTCGTTCTTTCTTGGCAATGTCTACATAGTTTGGTGGAGGATCTATCGGAACAGGTGACTTTTCATTAGCCTACAAGAGGTTAAGTTATGAACAGTAAATGGACTAATTCATCAATCAACACCAACGATTCAATTTTTGTTGTTACTGTGTTGTGCTACAAAACCTGATCAGATTCAGCATAAGCTACTCCTATTGCTCCAAAACTAAAGAGAGCACCAAAAAATGCAGGTGCCATGGAAAAGCATGGAGAATCGTTTAAGGTGCTGCAAGATCTCAAGACTTGATTTGCTTTTGAATTACTCTGCTCAAAGGTTCCTGCAAAACCAAAGACGCAATTTTTACTAAGACAAAAAGATCAAAGACGTCGTAATTTCAAGTAAAACAACAAAAAAAATCAAAACTTTAATGCAAGTGATCAAAAGAAGCTTCTAGTGCTGCTTTCAATTCTTCAAAAGTTCCAATTTTTAAAACAGTTACCAATTCATACAATCAAATGGGTTCGATAGAAACACTCCAAGAAATCAAAAGGGATAACAGAATTATAAGAAATTAACAAATTCTTGAATTCAATAGAATACCACTAGAGAAACAACGACGAAGCTCTCGTGCCCGTGGGTGGGAAGGAACCATGGATTTAGGATGGGTGAGAGATCCGCGCCATGCTCGAGATGCTCGAAACAATTTGTCCAGAACTGCCATTAGAGTGTGATTACACAATTTCTCGAGGTTTCAAGAATTGTTAAAAAGAAGTTCAAAGGGTTTATGAGGTTTTTTGAGGATCCGACAGTATAAAGAAACTTGCCATTAGGTGATTCACACAGATCAAACCTTCCAGAGAAAACCAACCGGTTATGTTCAAAGAGAACCAATTATTATCAGGAAGAATGTCGAAAAACCAGTTACTATGAATGGGCCTTACGGCCGAAAAGTGGCCCATATTTGTAAATAAAGCCCAGTCGAAAAAGTCCAACTCAAACCAGAGAATTATTTTGCAATGAAATTTGGAAAAAAGGAAATTTAGCCCAAAAGAAAAGGAAAAAAGGAAAATTAGCCGAAAAGAAAATGAAAAAAGGAAAAATGCCAAAAACCAAAAAGGAAAGAACCGAAAATTTCCTTTTTTCCGTGTGAAAACCTTTTTATATAAACACAGACTCACTCATCTCTTTCATCTGAGAAAAATCATAATTCTCTCTTCTCTTTGATTTGTATTATCTCTAACGTTATGATGTTCTCTCTCGGAAGCTCTGCAAAGGTCTTCTAATGAGAGAAGTCATCGCTCGCCGCCGGTCTCGAGACAATGATGATGGAGCCGCCGATGATCCATCCGTTGATGATACAAGTAAGTAACGCACTCACTCTCTCTCTCTCTCCCTTTGTTTTCATCTCTGACCTAATTTCGAACATCATCCGAGTTTTAGGTCTTGTCTTGGCTGGAGAAGTATAGTACATCAGCGGATATCTGAGAGATGGATTCATGTCTCTGTCGAGATATGAAGCCACAACTAGGGATGCTACTACTACTTTTGGTAGGTTTCTAACAGCTATTCGGTTTCTTTTTTGTTTTAAAGTATATTTGTCTGATTCTTGTGTGTTAAATCTCATCGTCGTCTTAAATTGATTATAGGTTGGCGAGAGAGTATGTGATCCTATCTTGGCCAAGAAAGATGATTCGCTCGCCTACAACCATGTTGCTACTTTGAAAACTAACAAGGTTTGTTTCTCTCAAATCTTCCATCCTTCTTTTTTTCTTCTCTTATGGCATGGACCCGATAATGTTTGATCTGTTTTCACATGTCTCTTACCTTTAGTTGCATCTTCCCCATGGAAGATACACAAGGAGCCAAGTGGAGAGCCGAGATGTTTGTTCAATAGACTGGTGGACTCGAGGAGGCTGCTTGCAGATCAAACGCAAAGGCCAAGGTTTCAATTTTTCTTCTCTGTTTTTTTTTTTTTTTTGGTAGTTGGCTTGGAAACGTTAGTCTTGACTCAAGTGTGGCTTATTATGGCTATGTTGCAGATTCTACATGATGAGCTAGTGAAATTGATGGCTGGAGGAGAACTATCTGACTACACTTTGCTAACTCAGTTCCTACATTAATATGGTTGGCTAATCTCCAAGGAGTTGGAAAGACAACGGTGTGCGCTAAACTTGCTTTTTTACTTAAAGAAGCAGCAGGTAATGGTTTTTCAAAATACAGTGGAGATTTTTTTATTTCACATGAGCCATTTTGACAAAGCTAGATGGTGATTTCAAGAGCTGCTGCTGCTTTGAGTGTGAAGGAGGTTTGTGTTACTTAATTAATGTTTTACCAATTTGCATTTCTGTGTTCTGTAAATGTGTGTTTGCTTCACATTCTGGTGTCTTTTTTTCAGGATGCAAGCAGAAAGTTTTTGTCTTCATGAAAATCCTGTAGGCTTCAGATGCAGAGCTCTACTGGCCTGGTAATTTCTTCATTTTTTTAATATTTGCGTGTCTCTGCAAGTGATCATGTATTTTTCAGCTTTCATTTATGTCTCAAGCTAGATCCAAAAGAAAGTCGGCATGTGAACTTCACTGGAGAGGTACAGGTTTCTGAGTATTTTTAATTTTTCTGCAGGCTTGGTCACCGTTTACTTTCGGGTCTGAATTTGTTAGTACGTTAACTGTCTCTTAATCTTTCTTTTGAGTTAGCTTTTTGTTTTTTTTTTTTGCTAATTACTTCTTGTTTTGTGATTTCAGGTTTCCAACAGTTGATTCAAAAGGAGTTGATGAGTATGAGGAATCTGAAGTATAAGGTTTGTTTACCTGTTACTACTGAACCTTGTTTTGCTTAGCTCTTCTTGCGAATAAGGCTTAACAAATTGGTAGACACTTTCACACCGGGTCGACATAACTATGTCATCATGTACTTACTAAGAGAGAAGGTTTCAATGGCTTTTGTCGACATAATTACATCATCAGGTACTTACTTAAAGATGCAATTTTCTCTTTAGTTTAACTTTTGTCTGAAATCTTAGTATCATTGTTTTGGTTACTTTTTTTTGTTTGTTTTCTTTTCAGCTGTTTTCTTGTGTTTCCTTGCATGTGGATTTGATTCAGCTGCTAATCAGTTGGGAAATCGTTGACGAGGTACTTGTTACAAAAGTTTTGATCTGTTTTTTTTGTTCTTCTTTATGTTCATTCTTAGTAAGGGTGAGAACTGAACCAAGTTAAGGTTTATTTTTCAGGCTTGGTTACTATTTAATTTCGGGCCTGATTTTGTAAGGACATTAATTGTCTCTTCTAAGATAAGTTTATGTACTTCCTACAGCTCTGGTGACAACATTCAATGTAGAGCTAGGAAATACATTAGCCATTTTGACAAAGCGAGATGGTGATTCAAGAGGTGCTGCTGTTTTGAGTGTCATGGAGGTTTGTGTTCTTCTTTTTTGACCAATTATGTCATAGAAAGATACTTAGTTAATGTTTTACGTTGATTGAACCCTTTACTCAGAGATACATTCACCGAGGTTTGGCTTCTCTCTCCTCCACAGTTTGGCTTCCAATTTTGCTTCTGTTTGTTTTTTCCGTTTTGATATCTGTTGGGTGGTTTTTTTTTATTTCTTCGTGTTCTGTGATTTCAGGTTTTCAACAACTGATTCAAAAGGAGTTAATGAGTCTGAGGAATTGGAATTAAAAGGTTTGTTTATTTGATACAAAACCTTGTTCTGGAATTAATGTAGTCTCCTTTATATTTTCAAGATTTCTCCTTTTATCTTGTGTAATTTGGGGATAATTTCTGAAGCTTGTGTCCTTTTGTTTTTCACAAACCAGGAAACTACACATAGAGCGGTTTAGAGGATGAAGAAGATCGAGTAAGTGCTGATATCAACAAAGAAGGATCCATGAACTTTTACACTAAGGTACACTTGTTTTCTTCTTTTTGGATGTGTTTATGTATATTGAGGTTGTGATTAAAAATTTAAAGCAAGATTGGTTAACTGTTTTAAGGTCTAGAAGAGGAGATCAAATCAGTTCTTATAGAACTTTTAATAGGCTAGCTTGGTACAAGGAGTAGCTAAATCCTGAAAACAAGGTGACCTTTAATTTTATACAAAAATGATATTTGATTAATTAAGGTTCCTTAAAAAAGTGATGGCAATAGAAGAGTCTAGGATTGTGATAATGATTATATGTAGGTTCCTGCACTTGGACAGAATGGGAAAATCACTGGGGGAGTCTTGATTTAATCAATTATGTCGATAGCAACTTGAGTGGGTCTTCACTTTAAGCCGAGGTAAGATCTTGTCTGGATGTTATAGATCTTGTTCTTTTCATGTCATGTAATACTTTTTTGAAGTGATTTTTTGTTGTTGTTGTTGTTAGTCTAAGATCCTCCTGCAAAGAGAAAGTTTGGTGAAGACTTGTTGAAATATGTTGATGAAACATTGGTAGAAACCTGTGTTAGGCTCTTTCAAAGGTGACCCGGTAAAAGAGACAGGTAAGGTTGATTTTTCGTGAGACTTGTTAATTGTATATGTAAGACCTGGATTGTTATGTGGATATTGGTTTTTGTGTTTGTTCTTGTATATACGTTTACATTTTTACGTTAAGAATAAATGTACAAGCCAAAAATTTCAGTAGTAGGAGTTGAAACTTGTGTTTTGATGCAGGATCGGGGATCACATGGAAAATGCTTTGAAGAAGTTCTGGTGAAAACATTCAATGTAGAGATAGGAATAGCAGGAACCATTTTGACAAAGCTAGATGGTGATCCAAGAGATGTTGCTGCTTTGAGTGTCAAGGAGGTTTATGTTCTTCTTCTTTGATCAATTATGTAATAGGAAGCTACTTAATTAATGTTTTTCCAATTAATGTTTTTATGTTCTGTAAATGTGGATTTGATTCACATTTTGGTGTCTTTTTCAGGATGGAAACAGGGAGTTTTTTTTGTCTTCATGAAAATCCAGTAGGCTTCAGATGCAGAGCTCTACCGACCTGGTAATTTCCTCCTTTATTCTATATTTGTGCAAGTGATCATGTATTTTTCAGCTTTTATTTATGTCTCAAGCTAGATCCAAAAGTTTACTGAAATTGAAATTTGAATTAGATGTATGCATAGTAAAAGTCTGCTTGAAAGAATGGTCTTTTTTTTTCCCTTCTTATTATTGCTCCCGGAAGTGCTGCCTGTGGAGATATTTGTTTATTTAGTTTAAGGTGGCAATGATGGACCTGAAGTCGCAGCTGCAAAGGTTAATTCCGGAACAGCAGGGTAGCGTGGACACCTTCTCCATAAAAAATTTAAAAAGAACTTGTCAATTATTTGTTCTGATGGTTGAGATTTTTCTTAACTGCCACTTACAATGAAAATCTTGCCTCATAAGATTTGTCAATTTCAGGTCTGAAGAAACTCAAATCAGAACATAAGAAGGTCCAACTGGGAAACTTCACTATTGATATGGTAGAAAGAATGATGTTTTTTACGTTTTTTGGTTTGTTTATATATGTTTTTCACCTTCCATATTGCATAACTCATCATAATCACCTTTGAAAAATAAGGTTATTGGTGGGATGAGAGGTATTACTGGATTGCTTTGGGAAACCTCATTGCTTGACCCAGATAAGGTACTGATAGCTCTTTCGTTACAGTTATAATTACTTGGTTAGATCCTAAATCTTGAAAATATTAACCGTTCTAAATGTGCTGATGAAACTATTTTATCATTATTTCAGGGTATACGCTTTTACGGGCTTGACAAGTCCTGAGCGCCAAAAAGTATTACCTACTGCCCCTTCTGGAGCAGAACCGTTGCCCAAGCGTCTTATATAGCTTCTTTTTAACTGGAAAGGTGTGACTACTAAACATTTATATAAGTCAGTCATGAGTACTCCCCTCAATGTATCATCTTGTGTCATAAAGGTACCTAGCAAAGAGCAAGTAGAAGAAGCACTGTCGAAAGACTTGGCAAACCGTGCTGATGTGCCAGGTTTGCCTATTTACTTTCTTGGTCTGGCTGGTTGCAAGAAAATCATGCTGTGTATTGGGCTCATCAAAATTTGTTCGACATAAATGTTTAAAAGAAATTGCTGGACAGAAATTAAATATAATTGTGTTTTTTGTCTTACACTCCACTAATTCTTAACTTGTATCCGGTTATGCAGACTATGTGTACAATGCCGTCGATGCCCTGCCTTCCACCACTCATCTAATTACTCGATTTTGTAGCAACGGTGTTATGGCCCTCCAGGTGTGGTTCTATTTACTCGGATAGTTGTTTGCTTGTGCTTGTTGTGAGATGAGCTAAAACTTGTTTTTTTTTTTTGCCATAAGTAAACAATCAGCGGAAAGCTAATTTTCTTTGCCTGATATCCAGGAGCAAAGTGAATTCAAAAAGGCATATTGCAGGCTGTCGCATGTAAAGAAAAATTATGTATTTTGTTCGACTCTTGTCGTGTCAATTTTGTTCTATCTGTTCTTGAGAAAGTTTATTGGTAAAATTTGCAGGCGACACTTGTTGATGAGTCACTCTATGATTCTATTGCTGGAGAGCTGAGCTAGTGTGTACTCAAAGCTTGATGCATCCGTCAAAGGCACCCTTGTTTGATATTGTTGTGGTACGTAACGTAGACAGTCTGTAGTAATCCTTCCCCTCCATTGTTTCAGCTTAGAAATTGAAAACTTAGAAAGTTGTGAAGTTTTGTACGTATATTCCATATTCCAACATAACAAACACACAAAGTTACAGTACATGTATTTTATAACAGAACAGAGTGGGTGGAGGAGAAATATCTTAGCTACACTTTGCTAAATCAGGTTTTTAAACTTATTTTGATTTCTTTCTTCTGTGATTTCAGGTTTTCAGCAGCTGATTCAAAAGGAGTTAATGAGTCTGATGAATCGGAATTAAAAGGTTTGTTTACTTGATACTACTATACCTTGTTTTGCTTAGTAGTATGGTGTCTTCTTCATAGTTTAGTAGATGGTGTTTTGCTTAGCACTGTTGCCAGATTAAGCTTATGAAATTGGTAGAGACTTTCACACCTCTTGTTCCTTGTTTTGCTTAGCTCTGTTGCAGGTATGTTCCTCTTCAAGTATCTTGTTCATTTTTTTTTGTTTAAATTGGCTTTTACACCACGAAATAAAGGTACATATATATTCTTCATATTTTCTAGATTTCTTTTTATCTTATGTAAATTGAGGATAATTTCTGAAGCTTGTGTCGTTTTGTTTCTCACAAACCAGGAAACTACACATAGAGAAGCTTAGAGGATGAAGAAGATAGAGTAAGTCCTGATATCAACAACGAAGGAGCCATGAACTTTTACACTAAGGTACACTTGTTTTCTTCTTTTTGGTTGTGTGTATGTATATTGAGGTTGTCATTAAAAAATGTAAAGCAAGATTGGTTAACTGTTTTAAGGTCTACAAGAGGAGATCAAATCAGTTCCTATAGAACTGTTGTTAATAGGCCAGCTTGGTACAAGGGGAAGGTAAATCCTGAAAACAAGGTGACCTTTAATTTTATGCAAAAGCGATATTTGATTTTCTAAGGTTCCTTATAAAAAGTGATGGCAATAGAAGAGTCTAAGATTGTGATAATGATTGTTCTGTGATTTCAGGTTTTCAACAGCTGATTCAAAAAGAGTTGATGAGTATGAGGCGTCAAAAGTAGAAGGTTTGTTTACGTGTTACTACTGAACCTTGTTTTGCGTAGCTCTCTTGCGAATAAGGCTTAATAAATTGGTAGACACTTTGAAGAAGTTTGATGAGGTTCACAATCTCTACATTCAACCTCAGGTACGCACGTCCTCTTACTTGTTAGCTCATCTTTTTTTTGAGCTGCTCCCCTCTTACTCTCTCTTTCTCTCTATGATTATTTAAGTCATAATCTTATAGATACAATCAGTAGTATAAAATACTAGAAAGAGAAAAGAGAGAAACTTGAATATTACAACATCCTCTTACTTACTTGGGAGAAATGGGTTTGAGTTCGTTATCTGCATTGATATACTGCCCACGATGAGATATCGAGTTACCGACAAAGATCCTTGAAACTGCCATGTGTGTCGTCGACTGTAATTTCGAGAAACATACGAAAAATGAACGCTGCTTTCACTATGTTGAATCTTATGTTGTTTTGTTGTACAGAATCAATCAAATCTTTGAAAGAGTTTTGTAGCTACTGTGTCTGGTTTACTCTGTCGATTTAGCCAATTCTCACTCTCATTGTGCTTGTTTATGTTAGGTGTGTGGTTTGGGAAGCCAAAAGAAACTTGTGTTGGTCATTAGTGTATGCATCTTTTGTTTTGGTTCATGAAGTTTAAAGTCTTGTTGTAAACTCAAAATGAATGCATCTTTAGTTATGTGTCTTGAACTCAACATTGAAACATGTCTTAATACAGCCGAGAAGAAAAACAACTACCAAACAATGTTTTTGAAACATGTCTTAAGAAACCGCCGAGAAGAAAAACAAATAGCAAACAATGTTTTTGAAACTAATACACACAGAAACTCGTTCTGAGAGAAGCCAATAAAACATACGCCAAACATGTTCTGAAACAAACCAAAAAACACACACAACCTGCATCGCTGAGCTAGAGGATCCCCATCCTCCTCTCTGTGATCTTTTGACATGGTGCTATTTGTCCCATGTCTAATAATGGGCTTTAGCAGATCTTTGGCCCAAAAAACCTTTATTTGATTTTTTCTTCTTCTTCTATTTTTTTTTGGGATAAATCTTTGTCAATGAAAAATTTGGATAATAATAGGAAATTTTGGATAAGGAAAATTAAAACAAAAAATATATGATTATTGTTGTAGTTACCGTTGTGATAAATTTCCATATTTTTTGGCAGCATAAATTACAAAAAGGAAATTTGGTCAACGAGAAACGTTTTTTAAAAAAGGAAAAGAGGAAATATAAGCCAAACAAAACCAAAAAAAAAGGAAATTTTGCAACCAAAAAAAAATGAAAAAAGGAAAAAATGCAAAACAAAAAAAGGAAAAAACAAAGTTTTCCTTTTTTTTTTTTTTTTGTGCTAAGCGCTAAAGTTATAAATTAGACTCTCACAGACTCACACATCTCAAATTCTCAAATATCAGCTTTCTTCTTTTGTTCTTTTCTCTCGAACACAAAGCTAAGCTCTGCGAAACTAAGTAAGTAAAACCCTAGTTAGGTTTTCACTCTCCTTCATCTCAGATTAATGGATTTTTTGTATATAAATTCTTTCGACATTCTAACTTCTGAGTTTACATAACACAGTTGTTATGTCTTGTCTTGGCCAGAGAAGCAGCGGAATTCGAGAGATTGAGAGAGGAAGCATAGACGAGGACGAGAGTCCCTGAAAAGACCAACCACTTCTGATAACAATCATATTTGGTATTATCTCACTTTCTCTGTTTCATCCTTGTTCTTCTTCCTTTTGGCAATTCTCATATTTCTCTCTTTCTTTTATAGTCCTTACAGAAACAGTTAGGGTTTTTTTTGGGAGAAGATTGCAAAACTATTGAGACGTGTATGTATGAAGACTAAGGTGTCTACGGTTTGCCTTCCAACTTTGCTTCTTTTTTTTGGTTTTTGTCTCTGTTGGCTGGTTTTTATTTTTGTTTTAAATTATCTTTGTCTTCTTTGTGATGTTCTGTTGTGTTGGAGTTGGGTGAAATTGAGGACTCTTGTTGGCCATAGGATGATATACCATTACACAATGAGCCAAGTGAAGAGCCGAGATAGTTTTCTTCATTAGATTGGTGGATTTGAGGCTGCTTGCAGATCAAACTCAAAAGGCCAAGGTTAACTGTCTCTTAATCTCTCTTTTGAGTTAGCTTTCTTTTGTTTCTTTTGCTTCTTATGATTTCTTCTTGTTCTGTGATTTCAGGTTTTCAATAGTTGATTCAAAAGGAGTTGATGAGTATGAGGAATCAGAAGTATAAGGTTTGTTTACCTTTTACTACTAAATCTTATTTTCCTTAGCTCTGTTGCGAATATGGCTTAACAATTTGGTAGACACTTTCACACCTGGTCGACATAACTACATCAGGATGTACTTACTAAGAGAGAAGGATTCAATGGCTTTTGTCGACATAATTACATCATCAGGTACTTACTTAAAGATGCAATTTTCTCTTTAGTTTGACTTTTGTCTGAAATCTTACTTTCACTGTTTTGGTTACTATTTTTTTGTTTTGTCTTCTTTTCAGCGGTTTTCTTGTGTTTCCTTGCATGTGTATTTGATTCAGCTGCTGATCGGTTTAGAAATCGTTGACGAGGTACTTGTTACAAATGTTTTGTTCTGTCTTTTCTTCTTCTTTATGTTCATTCTTAGTAAGGGAGGGAACTGAACCAAGTTAAGGTTTATTGCTTTTATTTTGCAAGCTTGGTCACTGTTTAATTTCGGGTCTGATTTTCTAAGGACATTAATTGTGTCTTCATTCTTTTGAGTTAGCTTTTTGTTGGTTCCTTTGATTTCTTCTTGTTTTGTGATATCAGGTTGTCAACAGCTGATTCAAAAAGAGTTAATGAGTCTGAGGAATAGGAATTAAAAGGTTAGTTTACTTGATACTATTAAACCTTGTTTTGCTTAGCACTATGGTGTCTTCTTCATAGTTTTGATATTTCTCCTTTATCTTGTGTAATTTTGAGATAATTTCAGAAGCTTGTATCCTTTTGTGTGCTTCACCAACAAGGAACTACCCAAGGAGCGTCTTAGAGGATGAAGAGATCGAATAAATCATCATATAAACAAAGAAGAAGCCAGACACTTTACAGTAAGGTTTACTTGTTACTACCCAACTTTGCTTTACAGGATTTGATCTGTTATTGTTCATTCTTAGTTACGGTTTATCGGTTTTATTTTGCTGCAGGCTTGGCTTGGTCACCATTTAATCTAGGGTTTGATATTTTAAGATCGTTAATTGTCTCTTCTCTCTTTTGAGTTATTACCCGTATTCTAAGATGAGTTTATGTACTTCCTATAGCTCTGGTGGCAACATTCAATGTAGAGCTGGGAAATACATTAGCCATTTTGACAAAGCGAGAAGGTGATTCAAGAGGTGCTGCTGTTTTGAGTGTCATGGAGGTTTGTGTTCTTCTTTTCTGACCAATTATGTCATAGATACTTAGTTAATGTTTTACGTTGATTAAACCCTTTACTCAGAGATACATTCACCGAGGTTTGGCTTCTCTCTCCTCCACAGTTTGGCTTCCAATTTTGCTTCTGTTTGTTTTTTCCGTTTTGATCTCTGTTGGGTGGTTTTGTAACAATTTTTTTGGTTATTTTGTAACAAGATATATGGAGTTGGGTGAAATCGAATACTATTGTGTGCCATGGAAGATAGAGAAGGAGCCAAGTTAAGAGCCGAGATGTTTGTTTAATAGACTGGTGGACTCAACGAGGCTGCTTGAAGAGCAAACTCAAAGACCAAGGTTCCATTTTTCTCTGTTTTTTATGACACTAATGCTCAAACTAGGATTCTTTTGGCCGGTTTGCTAGCATGTGATCATTTTGGTTTTTATTGTTGTTTCACTCTATCGTTTTGGTTCCAATAGTACTCAAGTGTTGTTTATCATAGCTATGTTGCAGATTGTACTTGATGAGCTAATTGAAACTGATGGCTGTACTAGAAGTATCTGAGCTACACTTTACTAAATCAGGTCATACAGTAATATTGCTAGATAGGATCCAAGGAGTTGGGTTAAAAAGAAGACTGGTGGCCATGGAAGATACATAACACAAGGAACCAAGTAAAGACCCGATATGTTTTCTCAGTTGACTAGTGGACTCTCCAAGCTGCTTGCAGAGCAAACTCAAAGGTCAAGGTTCCATTTCTTTCACTGTTTTTGTCAAATTTTTTTTTTTTCTCTTTTGCTGTTAAGCTCAATCTAGGATTCTCTTGGCGGTTTTTCTTACAGGTGAATCTCCTAGTTGGTAAAAGGGTTGTTCAGTACTCTGTTTGTGATTAAGCTGGTGGAAATGGTGGATTCGAATCATATCAGCAGTTGGTAAAGGTACTCAACAATAGTTATTTTTTGTTTCTGTTTCATCTCCTTAGTCCTTCCCCATATCTTTTCACTAGCATAATGGTTTTTTTACTCTATCGTCTTGGTTTCAATAGTATTGAAGTTTGGCTTATCATGGATATGTTGCAGATTCCACATGATGAGCTAGTGAAATTGATTGGTGGAGGAGAAGTATTTGAGCTACACTTTGCTAAATCAGGTCCTACAGCAATATTGTTGGATGGCCTCCAAGGAGTTGGAAAGACAATTGTTTAGGTATCAGTTCGTGCCTTTGAAGGGTGTGAACTTGTGATGTTATTCGATTCCGTAAATCAGTACGCCCTGATACCAAGTTGTTACGACGTACTTGTTAAAAAAGTTTTGATCTGTTTTTTTCCCCTCTATGTTCATTCTTAGTTAGGGTGAGAACTGAACCAAGTTGGGATTTATTGGTTTTATTTTGATTTCTTCTTGTTCTGTGATTTCAGGTTTTCAACAGCTAATTCAAAAGGACTAATGTGTCTGAGGAATCCGAATTAAAAGGTTTGTTTACTTGATACTACTAACCCTTGTTTTGTGTCTGCTTCATAGTTTCAAGATTCGTCCTTTTATCTTGTGTAATTTGGGATAATTTCTGAAGCTTGTGTCCTTTTGTGCCTCACAAACCAGGAACTACACATGGAGTGTCTTAGAGGGTGAAGAAGATCGAATCAGTCCTCATATCAACAAAGAAGAAGCCATACACTTTACAGTAAGGTTTACTTGTTACTACTAAATTTTGCTTTACAGGATTTGATCTGTTTTTGTTCATTCTTAGTTACGGTTTATTGGTTTTATTTTGCTGCAGGCTTTGGGTCTGATTTTGTTAAGGAAGGTAATTGTCTCTTAAACTTTGTTTTGCTTATTATGATTTCTTCTTGTTCTGTGATTTCAGGTTTTCAACCGCTGATCCAAAACGTGGAACAAAGGAGTTAACGAGTCTGAGGAATCATAATCAAAGGTTTGTTTACTTGTTACAACTTTTTTTTTTTTAATTATTCTTATGTAGTTAGCGTTTATTGATTTTATTTTGCTGCAGGCTTTGCTTCGTCATTATTTAATCTCAGGTCTGATATTGTAAGGACATTCATTGTCTCTTCTTTCTTTTGAGTTAGCTTTTCGTTGGTTCATTTGCTTATTATGATTTGTTCTTGTTCTGTGATTCAGGTTTTCAACGGCTGCTTCAAAAGGTGTTAATTAATCTGAAGAATCGAGATTAGAAGGTTGGTTTACTTGTTATTTACTATGAAACCTTGTTTTGCCAGATTAAGCTTATCAAATTGGTAGACACTTTCACACCTCTTGTTCCTTGTTTTTCTTAGCTCTGTCGCAGATATGTTCCTCTTCAAGTATCTTGTTCATTTTTTTTTCATTTTGGCTTTCACAGCACGGAATAAAGGTACATATATATTCTTCATAGTTTCAAGATTTGTCCTTTTATCTTGTGTAATTGGGGGATAATTTCAGAAGCTTGTGTCCATTTGTTTTTTCACAAACCAGGAAACTACACATAGAGCGGCTTAGAGGATGAAGAAGATCGAGTAAGTGCTGATATCAACAAAGAAGGAGCCATGAACTTTTACACTAAGGTACACTTGTTTTCTTCTTTTTGGTTGTGTTTATGTATTATTGAGGTTGACATCAAAAAAATTTAAAGCAAGATTGGTTAACTGTTTTAAGGTCTACAAGAGGAGATCAAATCAGTTCCTACAAGGTGACCTTTAATTATATGAAACTTATGTTTGGCTCTTTCAAAGGTAACCCGGTAAAAGAAACAGGTAAGGTTGATTTTGCGTGAGACCTGATAATTGTGTATGTAAGACCTCGATTGTGTATGTGGATATTGGTTTTTGTGATTTTTTCTTGTATATTCGTTGACATTTTTTTAATTTAAGAGCAAATTAATGGTCGAGCCAAAAAAAAACAGTAGTAGGAGCTGAAACTTGTGTGTGTTTTGATGCAGGATCGGGTCTTGGATCCCGTGCATTGAAGAAGTTTGATGAGGTTCATCATCTCTACATTCAACCTCAGGTACGTACGTCCTCTTACTTTTCAGCTCATCTCTTTGTTTTGAGATGCTCTCCTCTTACTCTCTATTTCTCTCTATGATTAATATTTAAGTCATAATCTTGTAGATACAATCAGTAGTATAAAAGACTAGAAGTTTAACAAAAAAAGTATAAAAGACTAGAAAGAGAAAAGAGAGAAACTTGAATATTACAACATCCTCTTACTTACTTGGGAGAAATGGGCTCGGTTGTGGCTAAGAACTAAAACAAATGGACTTGAGTTCGTTATCTGAATTCATATGCTGCCCACGATTAGATGTCGAGTTACCGACAAAGATCCTCGAAACTGCCATGTGTGTCGGTTGACTGTTATTTCGAGATTCATACGAATAACGCACGCTGCTTTCACTATGTTGAATCTTACGTTGTTTTGTTGTACAGAATCAATCAGGTCTCTGAAAGAGTTTTGTAGTCACTATGGTGGTTTACTCTATCAATTTAGCCAATTGTCATTATCATTGTGCTTGTTTGGTCAGGGAAGCTTGTGTTGGTTATTAGTGTATGCGTCTTTTGTTTTGGTTCATGAAGTTTTGTGTTGTTGTAAACTCAAAATGAATGCATCTTTAGTTCTGCGTCTTGAACTCAACATTGAAACATGTCTTAATACAGCCGAGAAGAAAAACAACTACCAAACAATGTTTTTGAAACTAATACACACACAAACTCGTTCTGAGAGAAGCCAATGCCAAACATGTTCTGAAACAAACCAAAAAACACACACAACATGCATCGCTGAGCTAGAGGATCCCCACCCTCCTCATTGTGAACCCCTTCCTCTATGTGATCATCTTCTTTGTGTTCATCCTCCTCTCTGTGATCTCTGACATGGTGCTATCAGTAAAGGGAGACCATTTCGAAACGATCATAGGAATATCCATGATATTCCACATTCCTCTGTTCAATATGCGATGCCTCATACCCTCACTTCTAATACGAAACTTCACAGTTGATTCGTTGATCTCAAACACATCAATCAACGATGATTTATCATCTCCTAGACGCCAAATCTTATTCACGATCATGTGGATCTTCCCGACATGTGGAGCCTTCATGTTGAGAAACTTTCCAACAAGAAAATCTTCCCACAAGGGCTTTGCCCCTTCAAACACCTCTTTAGGTACTATCACCTTCTCCTTACCGTCAACCTCTGAAACCACAAACTTTTGCTGAGAGAAAGTATGCTTTTTAGCCACATGAAGCCAGGAGACTGGATTCTCCACCTTCTGAGTCTGAACTGCTAATTCTTTTCCATTGCCGCCTACAATCGCCTGAGTCGGATCCTCAGCGAGAGCTTTCACCACTTCCGCCGGAGAGCTGCCCTGAGGACGACTCGGAGAAACCGCCGGCGGCAACATACGTGTGTAAGGTCATCTCCAAAGGGAGGGTCTAAGCAAAAAAAATTAGAGATTATGGCATTAATGTGATTTAATATAAATCAGAAAGTGTATTAATGGTTTAGGGCGCCCCTTAACTAAGGCGTTTTATCTACCGCTCCTTGAGGCCACGTGTATAATTTTTATTGGGTCGAAACTGTAGAGAAAGGCAAAAAAAAAAAGAAGTCTCTCTCTCTCTCTCTCTCTCTCTCGCGAAAACCTTTCCTTCTTCTGTTGGTTCGCCATAGGCGACAGAGAAGCGATTTCGATTTTTCTTCGATTTCGTCGAAGCTTTCGAGTTAAAATCGGAGAATTTTCAACCGTAGGGCGCCGTTATCACCATCTCCATTGTCATTGATGAAGATCAATTGTATTTGGGTCACAACGGCGGAGATTCAAGCTCGAGAATCTTTGTGTTTGTTCTCAAGATCGGAGAAGTAGCTAGAAGGAAGCTCCAAATTCGTTTTGAAGGTATGTATCTCGCTCAAGGGTTAGTAGATGTTGAAATTTTTTATGTAATCAAAATTAGGGTTTATTTCACTTAAGAAAATTTAGGGGTTTTTAAATGTATGCGAAATTGGGCTTATTTCAATCAATAAGCAGTCTCTGTATAGGTTCTTGGCTATGTTTGAAGATTACTATAGCCATAGGTTGTTTATTTTTGCATAAATTGAAACGAAGTTTGTGGTTTTATGCATACAGATTGGTAGATTGGATTGTCTGTGAGCTGGTACAGAAGTAGCACTTGTTTACATGTTAAGAGAGAGCTGAAAGATGGGGCAAGAAGACGCTTGGAGCTTCACAACTCAGTCTGAGCTTTACAAAAGACAGTCCAGGTCAAACTGATTATCTAATGCCGTTAAGTTTCATTTGTTAGTTAAGCAGAAACTTGTGAAATTTATAACATTTCGTTATTTTGTTTGTCAGTTTTGATATTTGAGTTAAATGGAGCAATTGCTTCAATGGTTTCTGCTTCAAGGCCTTCTCTGCTCACACTTAACCAATGAAACAAGGTACTTTATAATCTCACTGTGCTCAATGCTAGATAAATCAGAATGGTCTAGATAAATGCTCATGTGCTCAATGCTTGCTGGTAGGTAATGCTTGCTGGTTTTGAATGTTGGTAGATGTAGATTAGGTTTAGTCTGAAGTTGTTTGTTGATAGTTAACAGTCTTTTACCGTGATAAATGCTCATTGTGCTCAATGGTTGCTAGGTAACTGTGTTTTATTGTGATAAATGCTCACTGTGATCAATGGTTGCTAGTTTACTGTCATTTTTTTGTGATAAATGCTCACTGTATTTTATTGCCATTGATTGCTAACAACAACAAGTATATATGTTGTACTTTCACACTAAAGCTTCTGTTATATACGTTGTACTTTCACACTAAAGCTTCTGTTATATATGTCACACCTTATTAACACTAACACTAAACACCCACCACAACACCTACCAGAAAACGTAACCCTTCTATTTTATTTGCTCTTGCCTTCTCCTTTGCTTGTAACACCCACCAGAAAAAGCTTATGGATCCAACAAATCCATACAGTCAAAATTCAAGCTTTGTAAACCTCTTAAGTAGTCAACAAGAAGGCCAGTTCTTTAACCTTAATGAGTATGAGAGTTTCTCACCTAGTGTAGAACCTGTGTTTAGTACACAGTCTACTGATCAGCCAAGCCCAGCTGTGGAGGACCGTAAAGAAAGAAGGAAATGGACTCCCAATGAAGATGTTATCTTGATCAGTTCATGGCTGAACACCAGCAAAGATCCAGTCGTTGGGAATGAGCAAAGGGCTGAGGCTTTCTGGAAGAGGATTCAAGCATACTTTAACTCAAGTATGCTATGAGGCAGCAATGAAAGAGCAGTCTTCTGGACAGAACCACAATGATGTGATGAAAGCAGCTAACCGGATCTTCTTCAACGATCATGGGGTGAAGTTCACTCTTGAGCATGCATGGAGGGAGCTAAGGCATGATCAGAAATGGTGTTCATCATTTTCTGGTAAAGATGTTGGAAGATCTAAAAGAAGAAAGGTTGATGCTCAAGAAGGTGGAGCTGAGTGTGCTCAAGAAGATGTAGATGCTGAAGTTGTTGCTCGTCCTCAAGGTGTTAAGGCAGCTAAGGCCTTGGGTAAGAAGAAGACCACCTCAGCTAAAGAAGATGACAAGGACATGGTGGAGTTTCTGAACATGTGGGAGATCAAGAAGAAAGAATTAGAGATGAAAGATAAGCTTTGTAATAAGAAAATGCTTGACACTCTTCTTGCAAAGTCAGAGCCATTATCTGATATAGAAATGGCTCTGAGGAACAAGTTAATTAATGACATGATGTCATAAGTTTATGTTTGTTGTTTGTTGTCTTAATAAGTCGGTTGTAATGTCATGTTTCATGTTTGTTGTTTGTTGTTGCTAGTTAAGCCGTTTGTAATGTCATGTTTCTTGTTTGTTGTTTGACTTGAACCTCTATGTAATCTCTCTGTTTTGAATGAACTTTGCTTTCTTAAATGAGTCAATGAGTTTCTTTTATAATGTCTCTGATTCAATGATCTTTTGGTGAAGGTTTTGTGGCTATGATGACATGGTAAAGGATATGTGGCTGTGATGACATGGTGAAGGTTCTATGGCTGTGATGACGATATTGGCTGTGATGACATGGTGAAGTTTATGTGGCTGTGATGACATGGTGGCTGTCATTCATAAGTGAAGGCTGAATGGTTCTATACACCGGTGAAGGCTGAATGGTTCTATACACCCGTGAATGCTTTCTTGAATATGATTCGATGGATGTGAACCAAGCAAAGTTGTCAAATGAATTTTAACCAAGCAAAGTTGTACAAATGATTGTAAACCAAGCAAAGTTGTCGAATGAATTTTAACCATATATACTTTGAAACTTTTTCCTATATATTTGCTTGACCTCTCACCATTTATCATATTACATTCTCCATTCTCCATACCACTGTCCTCTATATTTTTCTATTTACTCCACATAACAAGAAAACAAAGTTCATATATTTCTTGCAAAGTTTTTTTCTCCTCTCGACAAAATTTCTTATTTTTGTCCACAAAATCTCCTCTCGTGTCCTCTCTCTTTCTCTCTCTCTCTCTCTCCCTCATGGCTTCTTCTTCAAATAATGATTTCGACCAAAATGATGACGACAGATTTGACGAAATCTTTGATCAAAAATATGACACTATCTACAACAAAATGCTGGAACGTCAAGCAAAAAAAAAAACAAAGAAGAAACGAATCTATATTGAAAGAGAACGCGAAGAAGGACAACTTCGTTTATGGAACGACTATTTCAGTGAAACTCCAACATATCCGCCCAATTTATTTCGACGTCGTTTCAGAATGAACAAGCCGTTGTTCATGCATATTGTTGATAGACTCTCCACCGAAGTTTCATTTTTTCAACAAACAAGAGATGCCACCGGAAGGCTTAGTCTTTCTGGACTACAAAAATGTACAGCAGCTATTCGAATGATGGCATATGGTTGTGCGGCTGATGCGGTTGACGAATATCTTCGGATAGGTGAAAGTACTGCAATTTCTTGCTTGGAAAATTTTGTAGAAGCAATCATAAATTTGTTCGGAGATGAGTACCTGAGAAGACCAACAGCAGAAGATCTTCAACGACTACTCGATATTGGAGAGATACGTGGATTTCCTGGTATGATAGGAAGCATTGACTGTATGCATTGGGAGTGGAAGAATTGCCCCACCGCTTGGAAAGGACAATATACACGTGGATTAGGGAAACCGACAATCGTTTTAGAGGCTGTAGCGTCACAGGATCTTTGGATATGGCACGCCTTTTTTGGACCTCCAGGTACCTTAAACGATTTAAATGTTCTTGATCGCTCACCAGTTTTTGATGATATATTATATGGTCGAGCTCCAAAAGTGAACTACATGGTCAACGGACGTGAGTATCATTTGGCGTACTATCTCACAGACGGTATATATCCAAAATGGGCAACTTTTATCCAGTCGATTCGTCTTCCTCAAACTCCGAAACCATCATTATTTGCTACATATCAAGAAGCCGTTCGAAAAGATGTAGAGCGTGCTTTTGGAGTCTTACAAGCTCGATTTGCCATTGTGAAAAACCCAGCTCTTGTTTGGGATAAGGTAAAAATAGGAAAAATTATGAGAGCGTGTATCATACTCCACAATATGATAGTAGAAAACGAACGTGATGGATACACTCAGTTTGATGTATCAATATTTGAGCAAGGAGAAGGAAGCAGAACTTCACAAGTGGATATGACGTATTCTACTGACATGCCTACAAATATAGGAAATTTGATCGGCATTCGAAATCAAGTTCGTGATAAGAAAATACATGAACAATTAAAATCCGATTTGGTTGAACACATATGGCACAAATTTGGTAACTCTCAAAATTTCAACTAAACATTGTATTATTTCAATATATGTATTATTTTGTATGTTTTGTATTTCAAGTAATGTAATATAAATTTTGTTTTTTATATTTTAAAATATAAATTATATTTTTATTTATTTAAATATTTATTTTTTAGAACCCCTTATTGAGTTCACCATTGGAGCAACAAAAATTAAATATTTTTTTAGAGTTCAAAATTTTTTTATTAATCATTAAATTTTTACAAAAATTGTTTAACACTCCAAATTAAGTATCTCCCTTTGGAGATGCTCTAAGAAGTCAAAAACCCTGATCGCCTTTTTTTCACCCTCCACGTCAGCACTCCTTTTTCTATTTATTGTAGTTTCATAAAGCACCACTTAGAAAATGGAAAAAGACTATGTAATTACCATGTTAATTAACCCCGATAATTGCTGCAGAATAAGAGAGAAAGAAAAATAAGTAAAGAAAACCACAACAAGTTTGGTAAACAATGTTAAGTAACTTACCCTTTAATTTATATGCAAATTAAATAAGCATATAATTTGGTATGAAATGTGTAAGAGTTGTAACATGTATATATACTTACTTTAAATTAGTGTGGCCATATATAGTTATTTTTATTTCTTTTAAAGCAAAAAAACTAAGCTTAACTTTATTTCAGGTGCTCGATAACACCTAAAGATGTTTTTATTAATTTCCCATAAATTATTCATCTTTTTGTTTTAGTTTTGAAATTTAAATATTCAATAATAACATTTTAAAAAAAAAATCCCTTATGTTTTGCTGGTATGTTGCTTATGTTTTTAATTATATATGCTTTTCAACTTGTTTATATATATATATATATATATATATATATTTTATTTTTTTTACTATAGTTAATTTGTATTAAGAAATTCATAACAAATAAGGTATTAGGAAACTCCTTCAAAACATTAACTTGATATTTCAAAAAGTTAGTTAGCCATGTTTTTTTTTTGTCTAGCTACCATGAAATCATATAGATTAGATGCAATCCAGATTGCACACAAAAACGGTGCCCAAAAAATACCTAGTTCCCATTTATAATATTTTTTGCCAGCCAAATTTGTTTTTTACATTGTAAACAGTGAGGCCAGTTAGATTTTGGCCGGTCAATATCGAACTAATGCGAAGACGCTGCTATTATTAAGGCCAAACAGACAGCCACCAACCAAAGTTCGAGCTTTGTATCCTACATCGTGTTTATTTATATCATAGAGGATTGCGCGACTGGTTGCCTGGTATAAGACCCGGACACCGAAGGTTGTAACATCCAATGAAAATGTATTCATAAAACTAATTTATATTTTTGTTCCATATAAAACGTTCAATTAATTAACTTTGCCTAAGTAAACTTTTCAAAAACGTCAAATTTGAGTCAACTACAACTCTGCTTGGAAAGTTATCCGTTGTCGATGATATTTTTTCAGTTTATTTCGTTTTTAAATTCTCATGTGTTCGTTTTATATGAAAAATAAAAATGTCAAATTAAGAATTCTTGATTACAATCTTTTCTAATTTCTTAAATCTTTATATAGCCGTTGTAACTACCAACCTGGTTCAATGTGGTTAAAGAAAAATAGCATCTCAACCACCAATTCAGTGAATGTAGTTTTTTTTTTTTAAATGGCAATAGATCACAAAGACAACTTTTAATAAAAATTTACTACATGATTATTGAAAAATTAACAGTTATGGGAAATACGAATATGAAATTGCGAAACTTTATTATTTCTCATCACTTCATACATTATATTCAAGTGTCACAATACACAACTTACACATTGACTACTTGCTGGTTTACTTAACTCACAGTAACTTTCTTACTATAAAGAGTTTTACAGCAAATACAAACAACAACAGAGTGAGTGAGTCAGTGAGTGAACCTCACAGTACCAAAACTCTTTAGGCTTGAGCCCCAAGTTCTAACAATAAGGTGTGATTTATCGCATCAGATCCTGGTCCCTTAAACTGAATCGGACCTGACAACAAGAGAATAAATGAGAGTTAATATTAGCATTGAAAACACCCAAAAGTATGAAATCAATTAGTACTTAATGTGGAAACATATATGTGTATGTGAACTAACCAGGACTAATGTATCGATTCTTCAAAGCCCATTCTTCGCGCTGCGATGCAAATTTTTTGAACGGTGCGCCTGATTTTTATCAGAAGCAATGAGCGATAATGGAGAGGACAAGCAGCCTTAAAATACAAAAAAGGTTTTGAGCTAAAGACTTATACCTTCAAGTTCAACCATAGCTTTCTTGATAACAGGCTTGAATTTGCCTGCAACATAAAAACAATCTAATGTTGGAAACAAATCAACTTACCAATGAATTCACAACAGTTTTTAATCATCGTCTTCGCAGTTATGTATTACCATGTCTTCTCTCAACATCCATCAATGAAGTCAGTGCAGTACCACCAACTGTCCATTCTTCAACAGGTGCAGCCAAGTTTCCAACCTGCAAAAATCACAAAGTGGAATATTAGATAATCTTGAAATAAAGAAACATTTTGTGATATTTTCAAGAAAGGAAGAAAAATTCTATACAGATGAGATTAGGCCGGTCTTTCCGCTCTGGAGAAGTGATCCAGCACCGTAACCTAGTGCGTAGCAGTAAGTTGCATCGAAATTCGTAGGCAACCCGCATCTTCCTTCATATCTAAACACACAAATCAGAATAAGATTATGCTGAGACTGATTAGTAACTAACAGGTATATTTTAGGCTGAATTTGTTACCCAAAGAAGTGTGATTTCCCCATGAAGTCGCGTTTGTATGTACCCGCCTTTTTCTTCTTGTCTAGCTCGGTTTCAGCCATTTGTATCAGCATTTTCTCTGTCTCTATTTTAGCCACCTGAAGAAAGAATTGATATACAGATGCAAGATAAAACATTTTCAGTTCGGTTTTAGCTCTTTAATTGGTTTGAATCTGTTACATCCGGGTGATGGTATATATGAGACAGGACAGACCTGAACATTTCCATGTGGATCTCTCTCGAGCATTAGTTGTTCTTGAATAGTAGGAGGAAGAAACTCAAAAATCTTTAAAGTCTCTTTTTTAAGATTCTTCTTCCATTGGCCTTCTTCATCAACATTTCCTTGTGCTAAGACTTCGTTCAGTTCAGAAATAAGCTCTTGGACCTACAAGTAGGTGGACGTTGAAGAACACAAACATAGGAACAAGAATCAAATTGACCATTATCTCATTGTAGATTTGAGTACCTCAGGGATAAAATCAATTAGACCTTCAGGAACAAGAATGACACCATAGTTATAACCACTTTCTGCTCGTTTACAGATCACATCAACAATGTTATCCGTAACATTCTTCAACGTAAGCTTCTTCTCGAATACCTGCGTAAACGTTCGTCATTTCTGGTTCTCAAACCGAAGGTATACGAATGAAGCTTGAGTAACACAACAAAAGGTATACCTCTTCTCCAATAATTGTAATGTTTGGATGGGTTTGCAAAGCACATTCAAGTGTAATATGAGACGCAGCTCGGCCCATTAGACGTACAACTATTGAGATAATCAACAAATTAAATGAAATCGTAAGCTTGTAACAAAGATAATTCATTTTCCTAAGTGAAAGTATAAACTTACAGTGATAGTATTTTCCTGTTGAACGTGCATCGATCATTACATTTCCAATCATTTCAGAGTATATCTTCACGAATATATGACAACCATTGATAAGATCCTCTAGTAAAAGACATAAGTAAGGACTTATACATTTTGAACTTACTTACCTTGCAAGCAGTATCAAACCCGAAACTAGTAGGCACTTCTTTGCTTTTCAAATCACCATCTATTGTCTTGGGACACCCGATAACCCGAGTTTTCATGTTTTTACCTCTGCAAACATATGCGTAAAAAGCTAATCACTAAAATGCAAAACAGAGAAAAATGAATCTCATAATTCATCTCTAACAATTTCTAAAAAAAATACCTGAAGTGTTCAGCAAGGAGACAAGCATTAGTATTGGAGTCATCTCCACCAATAACCACAAGACCATCTAAGTCCATCTTTGTTACAGTCTCTTCAGCTTGTTGAAACTGCAATGTGTAGCAAACTGATCATGCTAACTAAGTCCATCGATAAAAGCATCGATGAAAGTCACAACAATGACAAAATCCTTTTTACCTGTTCTGGAGTTTCAATCTTGTCTCTTCCACTACATATCATATCAAATCCACCCTGCAAAAACAAAAGAGCACATAAGAAACTATCAAGAAAAATAAAAAAAAATGTAAAACTTTAAATAGTTCCTACTATTCATAATCAAAAATTTGATTACTCCAACAAACCATTCTTTAAATGATCTTAACAAACTTCTTTCAGTAAACCTACTGTGTTACATCGATCTAAATTTAGTTGAGAGTATCTAATCCACTAGAATCAATCCGAACCAAACCAAAACCAAATCAAAAGAACCGATTAAGATAAACCGGAAACAAACCAAACTTAAAAGACAATAAACCAGCTAAAATTAAACCAAATGATGGTCATTATTTCTATCCACACTAATTCTATGTTTTCACTTTTCATGAGCCTAAACATCCGAAACCAAAACCGAAACCGAACCGAACATAATAAACCTAAAAAACCATCAAAAGGGAACATGATCCCATACCTGGTTTCTATAAGGGTACACAAACTCAGAAGTAAGGTCAATATATTTTCCCTTCATAATTCCAGCTGGACCGCCACGAAACCCAAACAGAGTACTTCCCTTCACATATTCTTGCAAGTAATCTATCCAACCAACAGTAACAACAAAAATACAAAACTCAATTCAAAAATCTTTAAAATCCTATAAAAAATAAAATAAAAAAATTCTGTCGACCAAAAAGGACAAATGTCTAACCAAAAATTCCACAAATAACATTGTGTCCACCAGGTGCTTGTCCCCCAGACAACACAACACCAATCTTAAGCTTCTGGTTCGATGGAACTTCATTAGATTGGTTAGGAACCAATAAAGCTGATGGTTGTCCAAATAGATTTGGGAATAATTTCTCAATCTCCTCTGCAAACAACATCAAAACAAAATAATCACAAATTGACTCAA